CTCTCCCCGCTCCTGGGGCTGCCTGTCCCAGGGGTGCCGTGTCCCTCCCGGGTAAATCCCTCCTCGGCCCCACTCGCTGACCCGGTCGCTCCCATTTCCCCTTTCCTGTGACACGACTGGTGTCGGGTCTCTGAGACCCGTCCGCCCCCTGCCCCCGGTCACTGTGTGCAGAATGGCACAGACGGCCCCCAGATTCCGACCCAGCCCCTAAAACAACCCAAAACCCAAGAAACTAGCACCATTTCTCCTGGCGGGGATTTTTCCACCTCCCTGAGCCAGGACACCCCTCTGCCTGGAGGAAGACGCGGTGCCACGGCTGCTTCGGGGACTTTATTGCCAGGGAGCCAGTGCAGGGGCAGCCGGGGGGCTGGGACCGTGGGGCAGCGGGGAGCAGAGGAGCAGGGACGCAGGGAACAGGGGCACGTGCATGGGCTGCACGGGCTGCACGGGCATGGTCTGCACGTGCATGGGCTGCACGGGCTGCACGGGCATGGTCTGCACGTGCATGGGCTGCACGGGCTGCACGGGCTGCACAGCGGAGCGGGGCGCGCTGCCCCATGCAGCACGCTGCAACGCGCCGGCAGGGCCGTGCGCTGGCCCCGCTCCTAGCCCTTGCACTTGCAGACGAAGGGGTTGCGCTCGCTGCACCCGTCGTCGTCCCAGGACAGGAAACCTGCCGAGAGAAGGGGAGCGGGCGCTGGGGGGGCCCTTTGCGCCGTGCCCAGGCCCCACGGAGCCGTCCCGGGGCGGCCGAGGGCAGGGGCTGCGGCCGCCCTCACCCGAGGACTCCTCCAGCACGGCGCAGTGCTTCCCCTTGGTGAAGTCGTCATCGTCCCAGGCCGCGTAGCGCATCTTGGAGCCGTCCGCCCAGGCCCACGCGTCGCTCTGGGGAGAGCAGCGGCACGTCGGGGAGCGGGAAAGGGCCCCGTGGGGCCGGGGAGCAGCGAGGGGGCGGCTGGGGCGCAGCGGACAGAGCTGGGAGCAGGAGCAGGTACTGGCAGCAAGGCAGGGATGCACGGGGCAGACGTGCGGTGCCGGGTAGATGTGCAGCGGTGCAGGGTGCAGCAGAGGCGGGCGCAGACGGGGGACGCCTGCGCCCGCAGAGCGGCGCGGGGCTCGGGGGTTGCGGGCGCTGGTGCTGCGGTGCTCGGGGCGCCTCACCCGGTACTGGAGGCCGATCCAGACGTCGTCCTCCTCCTTGGCGCGCTGGCACTGGCTCACGAACTTGGCCAGCGCGCGGTGCTCCTCGGCCGAGAGCACGGAGGCGAGGTGGCAGCTGCGGCGCAGCGTCCGGCACCAGCCCTGCGGCGGCACAGCGGCCGGGGGGGCTGCCTGGCGCCCCCCCGTACCCCCGTGTCCCCACACCCCCGGGGGGGTCCCTCACCTCCGCCTGCCGCCAGGTCGCCTCGCGCCCGAAGTAGCCGTAGCAGCCGCCCCGCCAGTGCAGCCAGCCGCGGGGGCACTTGGAGCGCGGCGGGGCGCGC